GATGCTGGCTTGTTTGGGGGGGGGGGGGTTGGTTTTCTGGGGGGAAGGTGTTTTGGGGTGAGAGCATGTATATCTGGTTCTGTTCACAAGTTGCTTCAATTTGATCCTGCTTGCATCAGAACTAGTAGGGCCCTTCATTTCAGTGGGAGCAGAAACCGATGATTCCTCCTCTTGTACTTCTATTTTTACAATGTTCTACTTTCCTTGACATTGTATGATAAAGTTGTTAGCTTAATTTTATAAGCTCCAGAACCCCTCAACTTCAAAACTCCTGGAGCTAAGATGTAGGTTATAGCACTGTTGTTGAAGACTGCTTTCAACAAGGCATGCAAAGATCACTAATTATCTCTCTTATTTTTCTACAGGTCAGTGTTGCTCACTTAAGATGACCTTTTGAAGATGGGGTAAATGTAAGCTTCTGGAAGAAGTTGCAACTAGCTACTAATTGGGACTGGGTGAGCTGGACTGCCAGGCTGGCCCCTGTTCACAAGCTTTTCCCTGCCCACCCATTGCAATTCCCTGCCCTCCAGTGAAATATGGTGTTATAAGCAGGTTCTTTTCCTACTTACATGGGAGAGTGCACTCATTTGCTGGGAATGCTGCTCAGTTCTATCTAGTAAAAAGGAGGAGATGGCACAGAATGAGAACTGGCTGCATAATGAAGTGTCCTGGTACCACTGTGGTGGATAAAGTGAGTGTTGCTGGTGCTAAAGCAGCCTCCAGGACCTGTGCACCCTCTCGCCCTCTAACTAGATGGCTTTCGTCCCCCTCCCCCTGCCACCAATGTGGTACTACTTTCCAAACCAAGTAGTGTACATCCAAAATTGTGGCTTTTTACCCAATTGTATATATGTATAATTTTTATATTTTAATGCAAGAATTTAATTTCTGTATTAATATATACTTATAAAATGTTAAACTATATTAAATGGTCCTTCTAGGATCCAGAACTACTACAATAAAAACCAGAAACTAAGTGAAGCCTCTGCCTCTTCCATTCCCCAAAATACATATTTGTGTACACTGAAGTTTTAACTTCTACTTTATGAAAAATAGAAACTTTGATATCTTTAACTTTGTTGCAGGAGAGCTCAGTGTAAAGCAGTTTTTAGACTAACCCCAAAATGTTGTAAAATTACTTCCCAATCTATTTGAAAAGTACTTTAGGCATCTCTCTAAGCAGAAATTCAGCAAATAATGTCAAAACTAGTGGAAATATTCTTAGGAGGCATGAAACCACCTCTGTCTGGAACAGTTTGTCTCAAATAACCCTCCATGCTAATGTTCAGTGGGAGAACCACATCCATTAAAGACAGTGGCCTCAACTTTGTGTGTGTTTGTTCTCTTTCTTATCCTGTTCTCTGTTGGGCTGCTGCTAGTAGTTTCCTATACTCAGGTGCACAAAACTTGGCTTATTTGCTTTTACACTGTTGGTGTGCCTATAGTGGTGAAGTTCTTACAGTGGCTAAATCACATGGGGTGACATGACATGCAAACAGAACTTGCAGCTTTGGTTTGGTGATTTACAGAAAACTACAGTTACCTGCCTGGGTTACTGGAAGTGAAGCATAACAGCAGGCAAGGCTAGGCCACCTTGCCACCACAGAACAAACTTGTGCCACCTGGAATGCCCAAGCTGCCTGTGCTTGCCCTTTATACTAATAATAGTTTCCACTGACAATGGGGGGGCGGCCTCTGGAGTAAGGTTAAGTAGAGAAGATAATAGGAGGGGGGTGGTGGCACTGGCAAAGTCCAGTTGGCTTCCCAAAGCTGTATCTGACTTAAGTTGCTGACCCCCATGAAGGTCATCAAGAATGTAAGTTTTCCTAATTGCTCTTGAAAAACAAATTAGTCGGGTGTGTGTTTTGGTTTTTTTTTTTTTTTTTTTTTAACTTCACATTTGGTCTAGAAAGTTCTGGTTACTTCAGTGTGGTATCCCTGCTACAAGAGTGGTGGTAGTGCCTCCATTTCCTGGGAGCTAAAATGTGGTTTAAGTCACTGGCTTTTTGGTATTAGCATTCTAGCAAACTTAAGTATTTGTA